AACAGACTTCAAATGGCTCAGATCTAGCCAAAATATATTCAACGGTTTAGATCTGCAGATGTACTGTAGTTGCGTAGCACCGGATAACTCCTCCGTCCTTGGGTCGAGTCGGGTCAACCCGACTGGTTGACTGGTCAACAACGTGCTAACGTGGCTGACACGTGGCGATGACGTGGCTGACACGTGGCACTGATGTGGCTGACATGTGGCAATGAAGTGGTAGACACGCATCGATGACGTGGCATTAACGCGTAGAACACTCTCATTCTTCCTTTCGCCATGTGTCAGGCGTGTGTCTGAGACTGGGATGACGCGCTGGTGCTCCCATGGCGCGTGTGACGCGTGTGTGAGATTGAAGGAGGTAACATAACACAACATACAATTTTGCTTCCTGAATACATTGAGCTTTGTCTATTTATCAAGTTTTCTGACTTAGGCATCGGAAAGGTTTCCGGCACACACCCGCCGGCTAGCTCACGTTTGTGTTTTCAGGTGACAAAGCGACGTCGTACGGAGAAGCATGGACTTAGTCAACAGGATTATACGAGGAGAATTATTTCTTCCCCGTACACTACTAAAAAAAAAAATGAAGTCACCTCTCTAGTATCAGTTGATCCGGGCAAGAACAATCCATTGGCTATAAATTGATAACAAATAATGGTACTAAATACTAATTAACATGTACAGTATTTTCATTTCGATTTGGGCACATCTAGAATTTTTTCATAAATATCATGAAAATGATCATGAAAGATTTTCCACCTTTGGATTACACATACAATAAAACACTACACATTAATTAAATGATGAAAAATTTTCATGATATATTTTTTTATGATTCCTAGCATTATTCTACAAACAATATCCTTAAGCTCTCCCTGTTCTTTCCTATCTTTTGTTTCTATTCATAAAGAGGTATAGGTCCGAGTCACTCCCCTCCCTCCAACGCCAACACTACCTGAGTTGGTTTGCTTTTGAGAAAGAGAGAGAATCACTTCACAAAAGGCTGTAAGGTTCACATGAACACCATGCCACAAAAATTACCAAAACATAGGCACTTCATTTATTTATTTATTTGTCTACATTGTAAAGCAGAAAAGATGAAATTCCAGGCTGCTAGAGTTGTAATGCTCAGACACTGCTTCAAATTTTCGTTTACTCGTTAAATCTATCACCACGAAATTCACAAATACATTACATTACATATACATATGTATATGCATTTTTATGGGTTTTTTTTCCATGCATATTTCAACTTATTTGTAAAGGTGCAGTAGTGAAAAGTTGACCACATTGCGAAGAAGTCTTACATATTCCAAGCTTTCACTTTGTGAACCATTTCCATTACTTTGGAGGAGTCCATATAATTTTCTCAAAGCCTGGAGATCTGATTCTACATCCTCAAGTTCCATCTCTCAGATAAACTACCTACCTGCAAAATTAATTAAAATCAAGATTAACTCAAACAACACACAATGATACCAAAAAAGTTTAATTTGACCCAGGGCTTCATGAAAAAGAAAAGTCATCCAAAAAGCACATGCATTCTATGTTGAAGTTCAAGACAACACTAAACTTTCTTCTCTCTCTCTCTCTTCTGTTTTTTTTTTTTTATTTTAATTTTAGGGGGAGGGGGAACCAAACCTCCATGCAAATGATAGAACTGCTTCAAATAAGTCAAGAATTAACCAAACTTCTCTTTGTTCATCATCAACATACATGTACACATTTTTTTTTTTTTGGGTTAATATATGACATGTATATATAGATTCTGAGTGAAAAAGCAACCATAAAACATCACATAATCGCTCAATAATCAATTAATTTAGAACCATTGAACAATTAGATAATCTAGAACACTCAAAAATGTATGATCAGAAACGAATTTGAGATAGCAAGGGCAAGAAATCATCAAAGCCTATGTGTAGTCGTCTATACTCGGATTTTCAAACCGCATAACTTTGTAGAACAAATTACAAAAAAGAATCAAACAAAATCATTCACTTTTGAAGAAAGCATAACTTACAGAGAGTGAGAGTGAGAGGTCTCTGATTCACAGATCTCTCAACTGTCAATTCTGATCAAATTGGGACGAGGTCAGAGAGAGAGATGAGAAATATCTTCAGACCATGTTTGAGAGAGAGAGAGAGAGAGAGAAAATGGGTTGTAACAACAACAACAACAAAACAAAAACGCTTTCCCATGAAAACTTCTATTCGCCGCGTCACTTCAGACTGGCCACCGGTTCGAAAGGATGTATGTTATTTTGTAATCTCTCAATATATCCAACGTTGAGATCATCTCTAATGTTATTAAATATAAATCTGATGAATTTTTTTTTTTTTTTCTATTCTTATTGTTTCATCAAATAAGTATTAAATTGAGAATATTAAAAAAAATTATCAAATTAAAAACTCTGAAACTTTCATTAAATCACTATATCACTGTTCATAACTATTGAATTTTTATCGCCGGATATCCCAAATGCTCCTCCGAATGACCACCTCTAGGCAAAAATTTGTGAAAAAAATACATTAACTAGTCGACCGGCCGGACATCCGCCTGGTCGTCCACCCAGTCAACCAGTGTTTTGATGAAAACTTAAAATCCTCCATTGAAACACTTGATATTGAATTGGAGTTTTTACTCAAATTTGATGGAAAAAAAAAAACACAATTATGAATCAACTAATAATTATGAATCAACTTTTATATTCCTGATCTTGTTTCCTTGTGAAACTATTTTACAGAGTAGTTCCAAATTTTGCAATCAGAAAGATTTTATCGCGTGACAACAACAAAGTTGGCCTTTTGCAGGTACAACAGAATTTGATTATCATTAAAATTTGTGGTCACTATGAATGCTTATCTACTCCAATGGAATTAGACCTAGAATTAAAAATTAAAAAAAAAAGAAAGAAAGAGTAATAATAAAAAAATAATAAGTTCCACTCTTGAGGGCGCAACGCTTATTGTTGTGTGTGTCATTTTTCAGGAAGGATGCGAGGGCTTATTGTATATGGCACTCCATGCACGTGTCATCTTGGATTTGTGTGAACACCTGAAACAGGAGATCAGTTTTGAGCAGGTTGAAGGAGACTTCAACTTTTTCCAGGGAAAATGGCTTTTGGAGCAACTTGGATGTCACAGCCTCAAACCCGTCCCTAAAAGCTTGGGCATGACCCGTTCGAAAACGAACATTTAACCTGTTGTATATAACATATGGGGCCTTATCAGAAGCACATAATATGAAAATAATGATACATATAAACTCCATCGAGCTACTTCTACATGCCAGGATTTCATACATCACATGCATCATAGTAGATAGGTAAAGTCCAAACTATATCCCGGAGCATCGGTTACATACAACTACATATATAGTCTCAGCCCTATAATTGGGCACATACAAAAAGCATTGAAGCTTTATACATTCAACCTTGGGTGGACAATCAAAAGTAAGCCAACATCTTAACAGATTTTACAAAATAAATGTTCTCATGCAGTGCCTGGACCCATGAAGGTTGACAAAAGAAAACGGGTGTCATGGCTAAGACTGACCACCTGGTTGGTTCCTACAGAAACAGACATAACACAGAGTGAGCCAGGTTCAGTAAATAATAGTACATAAACAATGCAATGCTCAACTTGAATTATAATACATATCAATGCATACATAACTTAGGTTAATTTAGTTTCAAAACGGCCTTAGGCCCAGTCTTGAAACATAATGGCTTGGAACATAGTATCTTGGAACATAATGGTTTTAAGCTCTTGAACAGAGTGGCATAAAGCCCTTGAATATAGTAGCATTAAACGTGTAAACGTGTTGGCATATAGCCCTTGAATATATGGCATGAAGCCCTTAAACATGATGGCATATAGCCCTTGTACATATGGCATGAAGCCCTTGAACATATGGCATAAAGCCCCTAAACATGATGGCATATAGACCTTGTACATATGGCATGAAGCCCTTGAACATATTTGTATAAATTCAAGAGGTGTCTCACACGGATTCTAGCGGTGACTCACATCGTAGCACTTAGTTCTGTGTAGCACTTTGTTTCATATCATAACAACTTATATGGAATGGCCATAAGCCTCATAACTTTCACATATGTATGGACTCAAGAGGTGGCTCGTACAGATTCTAGAGATAGCTCGCGCTGTAGCACTTAGTTTCGTACAGCACTTGCCCCATACCAGAAACACAGGATGGCCTTTGGCCTAATAGATCATACAGAATGGCTATAGGCCCATATTGGCTTTAAGCCTAGTTCATATATGAATGCATTCAAGAGGTGTCTCACATGGACTCTAGAGGTGGCTCACAACATAGCACTTAGTTCCAAGTAGCACTTTGTTCCATCCCAGGAATTAATAGGTTTTACAGACCAAACCATACATATCATGTTATACCATAAACAAAAACAAATTCATACATACGCATTCTGCTTGAATCATAAATAGCAATCTGAATTCATACTTGACTATGTTTGGCATTTCAATAGCGCTAACAAATCAATATAACGCATTCTTGTTAGTTCTATAAAGGAGTCCTCCGGTACTGAGAACTTGTAACATACTTGAACTTGTAATATACATGAACTTGTAACATATGTAAACTTGTGACATAAACATACTTAAACTTGTAACAGACGTAAAGTTGTAACATACGTGACCCACTATATTATTACCCCTGGGTAAGGGCCTTGTGCTAAGGATGCCTTGAATACCTTTATCTAAATGGACAATCATTCAGTGATTCAAAACGTACATGTTAGAATATAAGGCATTTCTTGTCATATCACGTTATTATTGTATGCTTAACAAAGATAGAATAATTCACATTTTCATGAGGGTCACACACTAATGTTAAACTTTTGCACTTATGTCGTGGTTTCTGAATAACTTCCAATTCACATGAATACACATAGCCTTCCAATTATTCTGATTCTTCGAAGGTGTCTACACTTAATAACCTATAATTGATTGGCCTGTGGCCTATGAACAACAAAACAGTAGGCTCTCACCTTTACTCAAAATCCATTTTTCAAGAATGAACATAATTCTTTTTTATTCATTAAGAAATGGCGTAGTTCACTTGATCTATTAATCAGTAACATATAGAAGTGTACACCTTTGTTTGATCGTTCATATATGTTAACATAGTTGACTTGTAATTAACAGAGTACTAATGATAACCGTTACATCATTCACATGAGTTAACATGGTTAACTTAAGTCTAACAGGACATTCCTAATAATTATTAACAAAAGGTAAGCACATTGTACAGATTAAATGATGTCAGAGATACGTGAATACCATGGTTCCATAGTGCTTATACGTACCCTTGGTTCGTCATGAATCTCTATGGCTATCTTGCAAATAACGTTTGTATTCTTTATCAACAGTAAATAAAATGTACTGCGGAATAATGCCTTTAGATTTTCCAATCAACATATTGTTAACATAATTACTTGCAAGGTACAGAATGTTAACATTAAGAATCATTAACGATAATTGAGCGTACGACTACCATACTACTACTCACAGTGCTACAACGAAGTGCTTGTCCCTTTTAAAATGTGCCTTGTACACATACATAACTTAGACATTAGTTCTTTTTCTTTCTTAATTCATTTCCTGCATCATTTCACTTCGAACGAATTTACAGGCATCTTAGGAACTTCAAACATGAATTTCAAAAATACCAGAAGGTTAAGCACGCAAAACAGAGCGAACGAATTTTTGCAGTTTAGGCCGCACATGCGGCGGTGCTTCCCGCACGTGCGGCAAGAAGCCCTGCACGTGCGGCGATTCTGGCAGAAAGCAGTTCGAAAATTCAGCAAAAATCTAATTTTTGGTACTCTTTTTCAAGGCTCAAAATAGGTTCTTTAATGGTTAGAATATGGTTCAAAAACATGTAAATAGACATCATAACATATATCAATCTCAACATAACTTGGATCTTTGATCTTTAAAACTTATGAACATAACCCAATTCAACCATGCTTCCAATTCCTTACACATACACACATATAAGCAACCATATATCCATATAGATGGGTTCAAGTTTGATAATTGAGGAAATAAGATGAATTCTCACTCAATACAACTGCAAATCAATTCAACAAAAAAGATAACAACTCCATAAATCATTTAGCACAACAACATAGAGGAATTCCTTTTTTTATTCAAAGAGAGAGAGGTCTTACCTTGAGTCAAATTCTCCACAATCCTCTAAATCTTCCCTAATTCTTTCCTTGAAAGACTTTTCTTTTCTTTTTCTCCTCCCTAATTCCCCCCCATTTTTTTTAACCCTCTCAGGAAGTGTTTTTGTTTTTAAGGTTCATGAGTCAAATGGCTTAAGCATATATATATATATATAAAGTGAATAGGATAAAATTTAATGAGTTTAATCATTCCAAATTGAAATTTCACAAAAATGCTTATTATTACCTAAAAATTATGCTGAGCTCAAATATGAAATTAATTTCGGATTATCAAGCCTCTAAGGCTCTCTATTTCTGATCCAATTGTGACGGATGCTTTCCATACTAAACATATATAGATTTCAACTCATAACATCCATGTGTTTAAACTTAATTTCTCATGAAACTCTACATGAAGCATTTAAATGCACAAAATAAGGGACTGAAAGTATATCAGAAAACATGTACGAGGATCGGGTCATTACATTGGCCTAGGCATGGCATGGCAAGCTGCTGGCCTTGGCTTGGCATGGCATACTGCTGGCATTGGCTGGGTTGCCTTGGCCTTAGCATGGCATGCTGCTGGCTTTGGCTGGACTACGTTGACCTTGCTGGTCGGTTTCATCCTCTTTCAGGATAGGAGCATCTTCACGGAGGAAACGAGCCAGGTTCAGAGTTGTAAGATAGAACAACATTTTCTGTTGCCATCTTTTAAAGTCAGTTCCTAAGAACTTCTCTGGCTTTTCACCGTGATTTACCGGTACTGTTACAACAGGAGAGGGGCTTGGCGTCATTGCAGCCACAACAGTAGTACTTGTTTGGGCATTTGTTTCAGTAGTCATCAATTCTAATATATAAAACAAAATTATAATTAGAATTTACACTACACAGAAAATTAAACCAAATTCACAGAATTAAATTCTGTAAAAATAAAAGAAACAAGAATGTAACTTTTATTTTTCAATTAATTTGAAAATAAAATAAAATTTTATTTAAACAAATTAATTCCACATAGAAAATTAAATTCTGTAAAATAAAAGAAATAAAAACTATAACTTTTATTTTGTCAATTAATTCGGAAATAAAATAAAATTTTATTTAACCAAATTAATTCCACACAAGAAATTAAATTCTGTAAAAAAGAAGAAATAAAAACTAAAATTTTTATTTTTCAATTAATTTGAAAATAAAATAAAATTTTATTTAACCAAATTAATTCCACACAGAATATTAATTTCAGTAACACTTCAATAATTAAAATACTGAAAACAGAATTTTAATTAATGAAAACTCAGAAAATAATTTCTAAAAGACCAATATTAATTTTCTGACAAAATTTCACAAAAATATATTCTGAATTGTTAATGACACCAGTATCGTACTACTAGTTGTCAAAGAAAAGAGACAGTATATTACTACTATCTGTCAAATAGCATATAATCACTATTTATTTTTCCAACCAGAATATTATTTTGTAAATTCACAGAAAATAATTTTCTTCCGAAATTATTTACGAAGAAAGACAAAGGGAAACAAACGAAAAATTCTGTAAACAGAGTAATTCGAATCTGTCTTAAGATTGTTGGAACAATCTTCTGTGTAAATAAAATAACTTGAAATATATTCAAACAAAATAAATAAATGACATACCAGATTTATTTATCGAACCGAAATAAATTTAAGACTAAGTCGAGTGTGTGACACTCTGTCCTTAAGACAGATTCGCTGAGTGGCGTCTATCTCCCAGGATACAATGATCTTTAATCAACTTGTAGTAGCACTCCAAAACAAATTGTTCGGCGAACGAAACCTGTGTTCTTACTCTCTGAATATTTATTCTAAAATCTAAAATGAAGAATAATGTACTAAAAATAATTTGGACAGCAAAAAAGACAATATATGAGACTGTTTTTCATTCCCAAGACTGTTGGTAAACCCACTTTTGATGTATTACATGTAACTTCAAGCCTAGGGCTTAATGTGTAAATGAGTTAGTACTCTTTTGTTGTAACCAAGTGTTAACTTGGAAAGCTGTAAGCCCGTAGGGCATTTTGTTTTTGATAGTAACATGTAATACTCGTGTAATGAAACTCTAATGAATAAAAGAGTGTGGTTAGTTTATATATAAATGCAAGTCTTATCTGATGGGTTTATTGTTGTTATATGACAAGGGGAGAATATATCATTTCCTTTAATCTTAAAAATATTCCATACTTAAAACCGATAACATACATCTTACTTAATCATGAACATATAGACTGGCCACCGGTTCGAAAGAATGCATGTTATTTTGTAACCTCCCAATATATCCAACGTTGAGATCATCTCTAATGGTTCATTAATTTTGTTATTAAATATAAATCTGATGAATTTTTTTTTTTTCTTCTATTCTAATTGTTTCACCAAATAAGTATTAATTTGAGAATATTAAAAAAAAAATTATCAAATTGAGAACTCTGAGAGCTTTCATCAAATCACTGCTCATAACTGTTGAATTTTCATCACCGGATATCCCGAATGCTCTCCCGAATGACCACCTCTAGGCAAAAATTTGTGAAAAAAATACATTAGCTGGTCGACCGCCAGACATCCGCCTGGTCGTCCGTCCAGTCAACCGGTGTTTTGATGAAAACTTAAAATCCTCCGTTGGAGTACTTGATGTTGAATGGAGTTTTTACTCAAATTTGGTGGGGAAAAGAAGGACAATTATGAATCAACTAATAATCATGAATCAACTTTTATATTCCTGATCTTGTTTCCTTGTGAAACTATTTTACAGGATAGTTCCAAATTTTGCAATCAGTAAGATTTTATCGCGTGACAACAACAAAGTTCGCATTTTGCAGGTACAACAGAATTTGATTATCATTAAAATTTGTGGTCACTATGAATGCTTATCTACTCCAATGGAATTAGACCTAGAATTAAAAATTAAAAAAAAAAGAAAGAAAGAGTAATAATAAAAAAATAATAAGTTCCATTCTTGAGGGCGCAACGCTTATTGTTGTGTGTGTCATTTTTCAGGAAGGATGCGATTGAGCAAAGAAAAAATATGTCTATATTAAATCATTTTTCCAACAAGTTCCAAATTTTGCAATCAATAAGATTTTATCGCGTGACAACAACAAAGTTGGCATTTTGCAGGTACAACAGAATTTGATTATCATTAAAATTTGTGGTCACTATGAATGCTTATTCCAATGGAATTAGACTTAGAATTAAAAATTAAAAAAAAAAGGAAAGAAAGAAAGAAAGAGTAATAATAAAAAAATAATAAGTTCCATTCTTGAGGGCGCAACGCTTATTGTTGTGTGTGTCATTTTTCAGGAAGGATGCGAGGACTTATTGTATATCACTCCATGCACGCGTCATCTTGGATTTGTGTGAACACCTGGAACAGGAGATCAGTTTTGAGCAGGTTGAAGGAGACTTCAACTTTTTCCAGGGAAAATGGCTTTTGGAGCAACTTGGATCACACACTATTGAAATACTCTGTGGAGTCAAAAATGCACAAGAATTCCTTTCTTTCTGAAGCTATTATGGAAGAGGTTTGTGAAATTTATTCGACTACGAGTTCGAATTTCTCTCACATCGCATGGTTGTCTTCTTTTATATGTTTAGATTAGTAGTCCTTATGATTTTATATTTATTTTTTATTTTAAATAAGACCTTCTGATATATTCATCTACCATAATAATCGTCCTTACAAAATTGTTGATGGTAATTTTGACATTTTTAGGTTATATATGAAGATCTCCCATCAAACTTATGTGCCATTCGAGATTATATTGAAAAAAGGGAAGCACAAAACACTTTGGAGACCTGTGACCATGCAATATTTTCTGAGGAGCAAACTGCTTCCTCTAGCAAAGACAGATATGATGATCGGATGTCAGTTGAGAAAGATTTTGATTTTGATTCTGACAGTCCACATCCTTCCAGACAAAGACCACGGGTTCCAGGCTTGCAGAGAGATATAGAAGTTCTTAAAGCTGAGCTTATTACCTTTATATCAGAGTACGGGCAAGAAGGATTTATGCCAATGAGAAAGCAACTTCGCAAGCATGGAAGGGTGGACATTTGAGAAGGCAATCACACGCATGGGGGGATTCAGAAGGATCGCGTCTTTGATGAATCTTTCTCTTGCTTAAAAGCACCGTAAACCAAAGGGTTATTGGGATGACCTTGAGAATTTGCAAGAAGAGGCAAGTTTTGCAGTTTGTTGTTTCGTTTTGAGTTCAGACATGGAAAATGACACCAAAAAAACAAAAACAAATAAGAAGAAAAGGAAAAATACATGAAAAGGAAAAAAAATCTTAATGTACAAGTCTCAAGTAATTTAATCTTCAAGGAGAAATTATGCTGCTCTTTATCAAAATACTGCCGGCCTTGATTTTTGGTGAAGTTAAAAACTGATCCTTTTCTATCTTGCAGATAAGTCGGTTCCAGAGAAGCTGGGGAATGGACCCGTCATTTATGCCTAGTAGAAAGTCTTTTGAGCGTGCCGGTATGGATTATAAATTTCTTTCCAGTTACAAGCACAATGTCAGAAGTTGTTTATGGTGACTGCTAACTTAATTGTTATTTCTTACACTTGGGCTGTGTTCGTTTGGGCAACAAGGCCACAGAATTGAAGACCAATCCTGAATCTCATGTTTGGATATGAAGTGGGCCTTGTATATCTCCATATGAGAGACTACTGAGTCCCATGGGCTGTGTGGGACACAAATTAGGGGATTAAACAGGTAGTTTCTATTTGCTCACCACACTCTCTCAGTTCACATCATTTGTGCCATTCGGATATAAATTTCCAAATAAAAATTAAATGTTCAGTTATCAACTTCCAAAAAAAATTAAAATTCAATTTTCCGGATATCAAGTACCCAACATATAGCGACCCCGGTCTTTCTCCTTTTGGTTGTTGTATCCGGACTTAGGTTCCCTGGATTCTCTCAATGTATAATTGTGGTTGTCATCCTTTATTTTCTCTTTTTGAGTTATCGGAATGTGTTGGGTAGGTTTGTTTTAGATTGGTTGGGTTTGGAAACCAGGTGTTACTGTCCAGAATTTGGATTGGTCGCTCGAGCGAGAGTTTGGTCGCTCAAGCGAGGGTTGGGTTTTGTGTCTGGTGGCTCGAGCCAGGGTTTCTTCGCTCGAGCGAGAGTTTGCGTCTAGTTTAGACCTGAGAGCAGTGTTTCTTAGCTCGAGCGAGCGTTTCTTCGCTCGAGCGAGGCTTTCCTGTGTCTGGTCGCTCGAGCGACCAAGTCTTCGCTCGAGCGAGCCTGTCCAGTTTAAATAGGCAGCAGCGGGTTTTGATCAGTCTTTTCATCCTCTTCTAGTTTCCAAACCCTAGGTCCGACTTCTCTCCCTCTAAACTCATCTTCTTTCTAGGTTTTCATCTACTTCTAGTGTGAATCCATCTTAAGTTCTTTGTAAGAAAGATAGGGGGCGGCTTGGGCTTCATTCTAATCTGAAAAATAGTGGATTTGGAGCACTTGGACTTTGGGTCATCTTCTCCATTTTTGTTCTTCGTTCGAGGTAGGGATTCTCCTTGTTTCTTTTCAATACTTCGTCTATAGATAGACATGTGGTAGTTTTTGTATTGCATAAAAATGGTATCATGTTGGATTTGTGAAAATCATTGGGACTGAACCTGGGGTTGGTTGTTGAATTTGGGTTTATTATCATTAGTTGTGGTTTGGGCTAATTGGAGTGTTAATTAGCATGTAGTTGTTGAAAGGAGAGGAAACCCTAATTTCTTTTATTTGATTTAATAAATTAATTGAGGGGTTTTGATCTTTGGGAAAATACTTAGGTATTTTGAGTCTTAATTGTGGTTATTGTTGTTTGTTGATGTTAATTGGGCCTTTTTGATCAATATTGAGAAAGAGGAAGGAAAGACCCTAAATTATTGTTTATGACTTAATGTGCATAATTAGTTTGAAATGGCTTTGAAAAGAATGTAGCCAATTTAAATGAAGTATGGCTTTTGTCCATAGGAATGATTTTTGTGAAAACAAAGGAAGTAGAATTCATTTTGTGAAATGGGAAAGGTATTTTGAAACAAGTATAATAAAATTGGAATGTTGTATCTTGAGTATTGAACACACTTGTGTGGGGGTATAGCTTTAACTACCATGTTCATGTTGTTGCTGAGTTTTGTAATCTCATGTTAGTTGGGTCTGTTAGTAGATGTATAATATGCATGCATCTGGAGATTTTGGTCATCAGTGGAGGATGATAAGGTTGTGTTGAATTGTTGTGTATATATTACACCATTGTTGATTGAACATCATATGTAATGAAATGCCGAATTACATTATATGCTACTCTGAACGAGGTATATCCTGTTGAACATGTTGCAATTCCTCCGAGAGGTAAATTGGGGGTTGTCATCGAATATCATTTTTATTCATTTTTCTAAATTACGTTTTTGTTCTCTTCTGTTGCATAGAATGTGCAGTTTCACATATATGCAGCTGCATACATGTCTTATATCATTTAACACATTGCCAATTTTTGCATAAAATATGCCCTTATTTCATGCATAGAATGTGCTCTTGCTTCTTGCATAGAACATGCTCTTACTTCTTGCATAGAACATGCTTTCAGTTAACATCATACGTCAGTTTTCTATCTTGCATGGAATATGCGTTGTCACCGCATTAGCTTGCTCACTTTGTGCTTCTATCACATACGATCACTTTGTGCATTTATCACATTTGTTCACTTTTGTGCATCTATCGCACACCTCTTTTTGTATAAACTGTCACATTATTATTCTAGTATGAGAATGGGTGTTCATGATCATAGCTATCTGTAATGTTGTTATTGTTAAGGAGCATGTTGAGTTCTCTACTGGACTATATGTTCATCCCACGTTGTTGAATCTTTTCAGGTGTTTAGCAGGGTGTGCTACAAGATTTGGATCTTCTTATATGTTGGCCACGGGGCCTTAGTTATGTTGGCGGAATGCCATTGTTGTAAAGGGTTACACCCTTCTTCTTGTACTTTTAATGATGTAAGCCCAAGGGCAATTTATTAAGTTAGTTCATGTAATGCTTACTTTGCATACGTATGATAGTATCGTTAATCATTTCTACGGATTGAATGTATGAGTTTATTTCCGCATGTTATCTCTGAAATTGAATTAAGTTAAAGAATTTGGTAATGACTCCGAGTAATAAAAAGTGAGGCGTGACACAACATATGGTTTATATCTAAACAATTCATTTTTGTTTGGAACTTGATATCTGAACAGCAAAATGGAACTGAGAATTTCTATGGTGTACAAATATAACCTCCCAATTAAAGGGGTTAAATGACCAAAATATCCTTGAGATATGTCATTACATCATATGCTCTTATGTCTAGTGATAGGACTCTGATAATTCTCCATGCTAATTGAGGGTTATCCTCTAACCTCTGAGATAGGGCACATAATCTTAAAAGATTGATAATCTTATGACTATTAGACTAATAGTTTTATGTAATCAAGTCCAACAAAACAAACACGGCCTAAGTGACTTGGATTCATATGCATTTCATGTTTTTGGATTTTCTTTGTCAGGTCGGTATGACATTGCTAGGGTATTGGAGAAATGGGGGGGACTGCATGAAGTATCTCGTCTTCTCTCACTAAAGGCGAGGCACCCTAATAGACAGGGAAACCTTTCCAAAGACAAGAAAATGGATTATGTATCATCTGCCAATGGTGAAGGGAAGGTACCTTCTAAACCTTATGTTTCTCAAGATACACACAAGTGGCTCATGAAACTTAAGGACTTGGATATTAATTGGGTTGAATGAGAATATAGTTTTATTTGTTTTCTATTTCTTGTGGTCATGGAAATTGTGTGAATAATTGTATATAGAAATATGTGATTGAATTGGGATTAATCACTTTTATACAAACTGAAAAAGTTGGGAAAAGTTTGTACATAGGCTAGCGGTGCAGTTAAAGAAGATTTTTCACTTTAAAATTTTCAGGAAAATTACAACAAACAAAAAAAAACCCAGGTTTTAACCCAAGTTTTAGCTTTATAACAAAATAAATTTTAAATTTTGTCAATTTAAATCCTAATCTTTTAATTTAGGAAAATTTACCCATAAGTCCTAGTTTTTGAAACGTTGAACCATTTAGTCCTAAAAGTTTTCTTATGCTCCATTTAGTCCCATTTTTACATCAACATGATGTGAATGATGTAAATGATCTGATATTTCATTCTATAATTTCAAAATTTATTGAAATCTGATGAACATTACATGTTTTTCATCCTATATTTTCAAACATTATTGAAATTTGATGAACATTAGATGTTTGAAATCCAATGTTTGTAACATGATTCTGATATTATTAACATTGTATCTGATGTTATTAACATTGTAATGGGACCTTTCAGTCTATAAGAAAACTTTTAGGACTAAACAGTGCATAAGTTATTAATTTGGGATTTATTGGTGCATCCCCCTTTAATTTATTTTCAATCTAAACTATCCACTTATTTCCGTTAAGTAAAACAGTCGAAAAAAGTATATTTAAGTCATTAAACTCAATGTAGGTGTACGGAAAATGTCTAAAATACTTGTTCCCATTAAATTTAATGATTAAAATATACTTTTTTGACAGTTCTATTTAACGAAAATAGGCAAATGATTTATATTGAAAATTGAAAACAAATAAAAAGATTAAGATTTAAGACAAAATTGAAAACTCAATGTTTATTTTGTTTCAAGACTCAAATTTGTTACAAGACTCAAATTCTAGGATTTTTTTTTTCTATGTAGTTTTTCCAATTTTGTCTTCTCTCCCTCTCCCCCCCCCACCAACACATCACAGATTCTCTCTCTCTCTCACTCACTCTCTCATTACATTTACATTTGAATCTTATGAAGTTAATTGCATACATAACTGACTGGGTCTATATGTATGAGCAAATTTTAAACGCCTTGGACATAATGTTGATTAATTTATCTCCAAGATCTAAAAATGGCAAGACAAAGGATTGTCTTTGTAGGGTAATTTATTTGAATCAATTAGAACTAGGGTGGCAAATGGTCCATTTCATACAGGTTTGGGTTGGATAAAGTCGGCCAGGTTGTATATTAAATGGGTTAACCTGCCAAATTAGCAAACATGTTATTCTTCTCGGTGAGCTTTTCCAGACACGGTTCGGGCACATGGACCCATGGAGGCTTGTTTACTTGGCCCATTTGGTTGGACAAGACCCATTTGTTCACCTGCGCAGGGACCCATGTAGACCCTTTACATATTTAGCCCACACTCTATACCACTTTCCATTTTCATATTTATGTACATGAAACTGTGTTTTGCCTAAGAAAAACTCCGCAAATCTAGCAACAATCACAACCACGAGACTATGACCTCGATTTTACATAAATTCTATATATGTAACACCTCAAAAATAACCTTGAAATCTGAATGACAGATATATGCATAAAAACCGTTATGGAAGAAACAATTACAGGGTCTAGAACAACTCATCTCATCTTAGGCAATGCCTGTAGCCCAGGCCTTTTCTTACTACCAACTCCTAGCTTGACACGTGCCTTGGTCTTGCTCGGCATTTTCACCGCCCTCTGGTGACGAAACATATGCCACCACTGCAACTTCTTCACCGCTTTCTTACTGCCATGCCTACCACTCCCCAAACGTTTGATGCTGCCTTTCGGCACCTTTGATTTTTTGGAATTCAGTAGCCCCTTTACTAGTGTGTGGAAGAAATGTCCATGCTGTTTCTTATCCGGTACTTTGCAAACAACTGATTTTGTTAGTTTTTCAGCTGCTTTTTCTCCATAAGCTTCGCCTTTGTTTGCACTGTCAAAGATCTTCTTTCCCGCGTTTTTCCACAAGGATGTGCCACCATGACCCACCTTGGCCTTTTGATATCTGTGATCATTGTGATGGTGGTGATGGTGGTGGTGGTGATGGTGGAAGATAAGGGCTAGTTTGTCTTTCAATCTTCTTAACCCGCCTATCGGTTTCTTTGGCTTCACTCGATCGCCTAATCTGGAACCCTTGGTAGAATCCATACTGGTTGATCTGGATGACAAAGCCATGTGATGATGACCCCTTACCCGATCTGACGGTGGACACTCCTCACTTTCACTACTACTCGTAGGACCTACGTGATGAGGCCGGCCCCTACTTGGCAGTGAGTTCACCTCACTCTCACTACCACTGGTTGTAGGTCCCACATAACGGCCTTCTGTCCTACCAGACAGTAAGTACCCCTCACTATCACTACTGCTGGTGGGACTCATATCGTGCTGACCACGAGTATGGCTCGGCAGTGAATACTCTTCACTGTCACTACAGCTGGAGGGAACCATATCACGATGACCACGTTTATGGCTCAGCAGTGAACACTCTTTGCTGTCACTACCACTCGAGCTAGCTTGCTGACTTGTCCAGCTGGAGTAAGAACGTGAGGATGAACTCGTATCTTCTGATTCTTGCTTACGTGGCAAGATCTTTTTCCGTTGGGCCACCCACTCTTGGACCCCACCCCTCTCTTGATCCATCAGTTTTCCATACAAGGTTGGCGACACCATACGCTGACTGATCTTCTGATCTCGCGGAGTTGGCTTTGTAATCATCTGATGTGGCTTTGACAGTTGAGACGTTCTACCCTTCCTGATTAGGTCCTGTGACATTAAATTTTGATTTCGGTTTTCCTTCTCAATCTGACATGGCATCTTATTAGATGAAAAGGCAGAACGAGATACATTGGCCATATTGGTTGGACTTGGTGGGACCCTCAAACCCCGAACACAATTACGAGCATGACTTGATGATGTATGACCATTTTTTTGTCTCTGCAATCGATTCATTGGCTCATCCTGATCAGTAACCTGAATTGTCCTCCAGTTTGGTTTGCCATGTCCTTTCGACAAAGGCTTCCCCACATGACCTGACAAATCATTGTTTGGTAAAGCAGTATTTGTACTTTGGCCAACCTTCTCACTCACTAACCTGCTCACAGGGCCATTATATGGGAGAAGCAGTTTGGAGGACTGACGCGCAACCTGATCTGGCAATTCGGTCTCCCTAGGCTTCACCGTGTTCTGTCTTGCCATCTGGCTCAACAAGTCATTTCCCACTAAATAAGGTTTGTGACTCTGACTAACAACCTGTGGTAGTCGACTCAATTTCTTGCTGTTCCGAACTCTTTGACTCAACTGTTTACTCAGTGAATCATCTCTGCCTATTACAAATTTGCGATCCTGACTCAGCTCACTCCAGGTAACTACACCCTGCTTTGTCTGCTTTATGGGACTAACTGAATCTATACCGAGAATAGAGTTGGCCATCGTTTCTGATGGACACACAAGCTCAGCAGCTAGTTGCAAAGACGAAATGCGCAATTCAACTTGTCTGATGGCATCAGCAACTTCTTTTGAAATAAAACCAGTCTCACCAGACTTCCCAATTTCTTGGCTTGTGTCATATATAGCTACTGATTTAGCAACCCCACTTCCTGAAATAATGGGTGAACAAGTCAAAGATCCAGCACCACTCAGGTTGGGTTCAATTTTGTGAATTGTTTTCTTCTGCTGGCTTCCAATGCTCTGCTTGTCCAATTTTACCAGCCCCGTGTCCCAATAAAAACGACTAGATTGATTTGGTTGTCGATGCTGAAGACTAGCAATATCCTTTTTAGGATTCCAAGTAATCTCATGAGAATGTTCCTCAGTAGACTTCACCTGCTTTATAGATCTTTGCTGGCAAGCCCTGCAACGTCTTTTCCTATTCTGAGGTTCCATGGCAGAAGAGCTGAACTTTGACCACTCTGAAACACTCGCCTGAGTTGGTGGTGTAATAATTGTCCGTTTATCTTCTCGCGTAGTGATTGGGTTGCAATTGGGAGCTTTAGCAGAGCTTTGACCAACTCCGTGAGAAATTATTGATACATCTGGTGAAACAGGTGGCCTTAGCATTGGCATGCCTTTTAGTTTCTCGAATTGAATATCAGGCAGTAAATTGTATAAACCCAACTGAGCTTCCATGAACTGTGACACCACAGACACACCAAATGCTAAATCAGACAAACATCATAATGAGACGATTTAATTAATATTCACAAATCCAAGCTGCAATTAAATTAAACCATAGAAATTGAACTGCATCAAATTACTGTAGAAAGCTCACTGCAGGCATTCTGAACTCCCTTGACCAATTCTATTCAATGAAAAAATCCATCTTTTATCTAAAACTAAAGGGAAACACATTAGGGAAACATAGAGAAGGCAATCTACCTTTGAGTGAGCCTCAAAAACCCTTTCAGTAGCACCATCTAGTAAATTCTTTAAGAAGACACGTGCCTTCTCATCCAACTGTAACAACAAAAAACAAAAACCCAATGAACATAGCTATGGGACCTCACGCATAAAAAAGGCATTAGCTTTGCTACTGATATATATATATGATTGACTACTCCCAAAAATCAGGTAGCAAAAGGGCAGTTTAGAGGAGAAGAACCTACTCATAACCGCATACTAGATTAATATTAAAAAACCATTAGATCACTGAAGTATTTCAAACAAAACATCCAAAATGCTAGTTGATAACGAACTCCAAGTCTCACCTTCACCCCCTAAATAGCCTAAAAGATTAATATAAAGCTACATGTAATTTCAACTACTGGCCAGCAGATGGATGGTGCTCAACAAATTATAAAGTAAAAGAAACTACATGACATGATAAGCAACCTTTTGAGAGGCAAATCTAAACATGAAGTTTTCTATCCTCTAATGATCCATGATCAGAGAACAAATATTAAAGGCATAAGGATCACAACCAATTAAATCATTAAAATATTAAAAATAATAAAAATAAACATTTATCTAATACAATAAAATTTTAAAAAACGGGTACAAATAAAAAAGAGGTAAAATGTATAACACATTGTAGAACCTAGACAAAATGCATCAAGTTATGGATGGTGCAATATGTACATGCATGCATACAAGAGTGTGTCTGTATGGTTTTACCAAAATCAAGGGCATTGCTTGGTGCAATGGGACTTCCTTTGATAACACAGGTGAAAACAAAGGTTCAAGTTTGAGAATAACCACTTTGTGCAAATAGTGCCAAGGTTTAGATCTATCTCTGTTCTTACATCTCTCAGACCCTCAATTAATATTGACCAACAATACATAATGTCCTTGTTATGTCATATTAGGTTTGCAAACCCTCAATATGTTCACTCATAATAATGTCTAGTTAGATTATGAGTTGCAAGAAAATCTTTAAGCCAGAGTAAACACAGAGCATACTTAGAATTAGAAGCCTCTAGTCATGATGAGTTGAAGCTATTTGCCTCAAGCCTTGCATCAGCGCCATCACAGAGCATACTTAGAATTAGAAGGAATTCACATCCGCAACCAAAATTCTCACCCTTGACTCTGTCATTCTAGGGATTTCTTCCATAGTCCAAAGAAGTAATTCACAATATGTATGAGAAGGTTAGGGGCAACAATATTCTCTAGATTTCCATATGTCGAAGGAATATGATCACTTGGATCTATTTATCAAAAACAAAACGAAAAAAAAGATCACTTGGATCCAATTTTTGATATGAAACTTGGATTAAGTTTGGTCTCTATGGATTATGAATTGATTACAAATTGTTTTTTTTATTGTAATTTATGAGTTGATGATCATTGAAATAAATTGTTAGTTCTCCATTTGCATTAACAGTGAGAAAGTTGGTTTATTTACTTTCCCCCAATGCTCAAGGTTAATTATTTTTTCGTTACTGCTTAACTGTAGTTTGAGAAATATCTTCAATAATAAAATTTTCAAACCTATGGGCACCTCTAGAATTCCACCTGCTCTTAGCCAAATACCAGCTATTTTACAGAGTGGGTGCAGCACCTTCTAGGTAAATCTGTCCAATTTTCTTGAAATTCAAAAAAATCAAAACCTGATCTCCTGGTCAGCAAATTAACAAAAAATGAGCTGCTTCATTCTGTAAGGCAAATCTTGTAGATCTGAGATTTGTGTCTATATCTCAGATCACTAGTTTCCAGGATGGAGATATTCAATTGTTCTTTCCAGGAGAAGCCAAGCCAAAACTTATTTCCAGTGGTGGTGCAGATGTCTTAATTGATAACAATTTTTCAAATACCTCTGCTGTCATACTTTATCAGTAATTATACCTCTACTCGCATATCACATAATTTTAAATGTTTGGCAAACTTTTGGGTCACAAATGACGGAAGAAAAAAAAACTCATAAGGTGAAAGGGACAAAACTGGAATTCCTAACCTGTCTTTAAATGAGCTCACTTGTCTACTTCCAAAAGCGTGTGCTTCAAAACTATAATAATATTTATGTGCAAAAGCCACTTTTCAAATATTATGTTTTGAGGAAGCATTTTTGTGAGATTGAGCCACCCATATTAGTCCAGGACTTTGAAGTGGACTCTTTAACTGTTAACTCTTATTTTTTTATGTTTGTCATGGAATCTGTTAGAAAGTGTACCGAGTGTTTCTGGTTGCTCCTCTTTGCTTGTTGGAAAAAAAGAAGTCGACATGTTATGAAAATTGTAATAAGAGTATGGCATTCTAGATGGAAAAGGAACATGGAATTTTGATAATCTGGAGGATGCTTCATATCATAATTTCATAAAAGTTGCTAATTCTTATATAATCCCAATAATAAGATCTAAAAAGATTATTATGAGTTTTATATTGATAGTTCCCATGGTAGTGTCCCAGTTGCTTTGGGCTCAAATTGAAGTTTTCCATGGTTGCGCTCCAGTTGATTTGGTGATAAAACAAAAGGCTATCAGAGTAAATATTCTCTCAACTTGTTCTTCGGATTGCAAAACCATCGCCTCATAATATTTCTCACAAACTGGTGGAGTAATTCAAATCAATTTAGTTTAACTGTGAAAGCCCTTCCTAGCTTCAATTACTCGACAAATTTGGCTTTAGATTACAGATAAATTTTCTAATAGAATTCTTTCTGATGTTGAGAATATTGTCAAAAGAAAACTTCAAATTTTGGTTCAGATAATTGGCCCTGGATGTTCTATTTCCATCAAAAAGGTGATAGTAGCTTTTCCAAAAAAAATAAAATAAAAAATCACCTTGAAACTCTCTGCCCCCATAATTAGAAACAACAGTGGTCAACATGATTCTGAAGGTATCACCCAGAGAGATAAGAAGGGGTGAAAGGTTTTTTTTCATTTTCTGAGGCATAGAGCATCACACAAGCTTTCCAGTTGAGATTCAAGCAGTTTTTAGAGAGCTTGTCACCTTCACTATGAGTTTAGGTTCTTGAATTTTAAAAAAAAATGGAAGTCATTCTGTTGTCCTCTATCACTTCCCTGGCATAACATCAAGTGTCTCCAAAATATGATCAATACTACTAAAAAATAAAATAAAGCAAGTCACCTCTCTAATATCAGTTGATCCAGGCAAGAACAATCCATTCGCTATGTATCAATAAGAAATAAGGGTACTGAATACTAATTAACATGTACAGTACTTTCATTTCGATTTGGGCACATCCAGAATTTTTCCATAGATACAAACAATATCCTTAAGCTTTCCCTATTCTTTCCTATCTTTTATTTCTATTCATAAAGAGGTATAGGTCCGAGTCACTCCCCTCCCTCCAACGCCAACACTACCTGAGTTGGTTTGCTTTTGAGAAAGAGAGAGAATCACTTCACAAAAGGTTGTAAGGTTCACATGAACACCATGGCACAAAAATTACCAAAACATTGGCACTTCATTTATTTATTTATTTTTAATCTGTCACCGCGAAAATTCACAAATACATTACATATACATATGTATATGCATTTTTATGGTTTTTTTTTCCATGCATATTTCAACTTATTTGTAAAGGTGCAGTAGTGCGAAGAAGTCTTACATATTCCAAGCTTTCACTTCGTGAACCATTTCCATTACTTTGGAGGAGTCCATATAATTTTCTCAAGGCCTGGAGATCTGATTCTACATCCTCAAGTTCCATCTCTCAGATAAACTACCTACCTGCAAAATTAATTAAAATCAAGATTAACTCAAACAGCACACAATGATACCAAAAAAGTTTAATTTGAATATTAATTAAAAGTTTAATTTTCTCTTTTCTTTTTTTTCTTTTTTTAATTTTAGGGGGAGGGGGCACCGAACCTCCATGAAAATGACAGAACTGCTTCAAATAAGTCTAGAACTAACCAAACTTTTCTTTGTTCATCATCAACATACAAGTATATATATCTTTTTCTTTTGGTAATATATGTGTATATATGGATTCTGAGTGAAAAAAGCAACCATAAAACATCACATAATGGTTCAATAATCAATTAATTTAGAACCACTGAACAATGAGATAATCTAGAAGATTCAAAAATGTATGATCAGAAACGAATTTGAGATAGCAAGGGCAAGAAATCATCAAAGCCTATGTGTAGTCGTCTATACTCGGATTTTCAAACCGCATAACTTTGTAGAACAAATTACAAAAAAGAATCAAACAAAATCATTCACTTTTGAAGAAAGCAAGACTTACAGAGAGTAAGAGTGAGTGAGAGGTCTCTGATTCGCAGATCTCTCAACTGTCAATTCTGATCAAATTGGGACGAGGTCAGAGAGAGAGATGAGAAATATCTTCGGACCATGTTTGAGAGAGAGAGAGAGCCAGAGAATGGGTTGTAACAACAACAAAACAAAAAAGGTTTTCCCGCGAAAACTTCTATTCGCCGCATCACTTCAGAGTGGCCACCGGTTCGCAGGGGTGTATGTTACTTCGTAACCTCCCAATATGCCTGACGTTTAGATCATTTCTAGAAATGGTTCATTAATTCTATTATCAAATTTAAATTTGATTATAAAAAAAAAAATTTGTTCTAATGATTTCATTAAATAAGTATTAAATTGAGTATTATCGGATTGAAAACGCTATGAGCTTTCGTCAAATCATTGTTCATAGTTAAATTTTCATCACCCGATGTCTTCCTGAATAATCATCTCTAGGCAAAAATTTGTAAAAAAAATATACTAACCAGTCGACCGGCCGAACATCTCCCTAGTCGTCCGGTGTTTTGATGAAAACTCAAAATTCTCCGTTAAAGCACTTTATATCAAAGGGAATTTTTACTCAAATTTGGTGAAGAAAAAAAAAAAGATGCACCGTTATGAATCAACTAATAATTATTTATTTTTTTGAGTAATGGTAGAAACTCATGTTTTACTAATATTTTTATCAAATGTCTTACGTGGGTATGGGACTCACATAGTGTGAATTTCACATACCTATATGAGACATTTGATAAAAATATTAATAAACTATTTGGGATCCCTAACATTTTTGTTAGAGTGATGAGTAGATGCCAGCAATCGAATTATTTGTCATATACATCTTAGGAATGAGAAGTTTTTTGTTGGTTGTGGGCACGGTCACACGGTGTCTCAAGTGTGCTGTGATTGATAGATGAGTGAATCTATGATTTTGTATTGAGTTATTGGGAAATATGAGAGGACATTATGATTTATGATTAGCCAATCACACCATTCTCTACTTTTATGCACATTTTTGTATAAGAGAAGGAGAAAAAAATTATCAACACATAAGAGGTGCAAGTGACATTTACTTTCCCATATCCTTTCATTTGCATCCCCACCATAGACACACTTATACCCCATATGTTTGTAATTTTTTTTTCCTTCTTCCACCTATATGTAATTTTCCTTTCTGTAAAAAAATTTTAAAAATGAATTAAAATAGTCAATTTTCAAACAAACATTCTGAAATTATTATTATTAATTTGAATTTAGAAATATGTTTGGATTATACTGATAAATGTATTTTATTTACGTTAATGGATCAAAACAATGATATCATAATTGACTCATGCACATGACGATGTGAGCATTGTCTTTAATAACTCAGACTCTTTTCAGTTTTAAATCGGATTAAGCAATTTAATCCAATTTATTTGTTCTATTTTTAGATTTAATTTTAATAATTTGAATCGTTCACGGAAAAAACACCCGCCGGTAAATTTGTTCTATTTGAAGTTGTTGAACCAATAGATTGCCTATGACGTGCAAAATAATATTAGAGTCGACTTGTACATCGGATCATGTGGTCACCATTCTGACTCTGAGCTAACCACAAGTTGCCCAGTCATATTATGGTTAATTATGAACCCTTGCGCAGGCAAGGGAATACAAAGATTGATTAAGTATACAAGGCATCATTGTATCAAAAAAAAAAAAAAAGAAAGTATACAAGGCATCACTAGTATTTTAGAAGTTAATTGACTTACAAATAAATTATTGGAAAAATTACAACAAATAAAAAAAAATTAAATTTGACTTCATAATAAAATAAATTTTGAAATTTTAATTTATCAATTTAAATTCTAATCTTTTGATTTATTTTTAATCTAAACTATCCACCTATTTCCATCAAATAAAACTAATAAAAAAATGATAATTTAATTACCAAAAAAATTTATATTAGACATTATTGAGTTTAATTAAGCATTACTCATTTCCTTGTTAGAAACATTACCAAGTAGGTATGATTTTTTTTTCCCCCCTTTTCAACAACATAAACTCTACTAAAGTGCAATGCAATCTGGGGAGAGATTTCACATTCATGGGACAAAGTTCAACAACATAAACTCTACTAAAGTGCAATGCAATCTGGGGAGAGATTTCACATTCATGGGACAAAGTCATTGTAATTCATGCCCTTAGATATTCACTACAAAGATTATCCAAGGTTTTCACCCACTTAAAACAAGGCCACAACGTACTGCTGTATTCACCACCCCCGCCACTCGACATAAAACACGTGCACGAGTGTACATACACTCTAGCTCTTTTTGCCCCTTCCGCTCGCAAAAGTAAACAAAACATTCAAACTCCCCTTGCTAATATATATTTGCGCCTTGTCCTCCCACTGTTTCATTTGTAGTTCACTATTATACAACACTGCCAACTCTATAGGCTATGAGACCTGAAGCTACTTTCCATCTTCAGTTATTGTCGAATATCTTCCCAAGAAAACATCTCGAGATGTACGTTTCCTTTCAACAGATCAACAGAAAATCAAAGGTCATTACGCTTTAAGTAGACCAACACACTAATGCCTGTCAGAGCAACTGCGCCAGCCAAAATTCCAGAGCGGGGTGTTAGCCACCCGGTTTTCTCACTGGTGGTGGTTGTACATAATTCTTGTCCCGCCTTTTGTTGACTTGAATCAGAAACATCCAAATGCAATCTCAAAACCTGCAAAAGAGATGCGAGTCGTAAGAACGGTCATGAGTAGCACGCAAAAGTTTCCGAAAGTTATTTGCAAGAAGTACAAAACAACTTCTCATTAAAGGATGTTTTTATCATTTATCCGAGTGCAAATGATATAATCAGGTTAAAATTGAATCAAACTCAAATGTTGGACATATTCAATTCAATTAGATCCAAGTACGACTAAACCTGTATTATATTCTACTAACACAAGAATAATTAACAAACGTCACAAGGCATTGTCAAATAAACCCTTAACACGCAACATTCTCTAGAATTCTGATTCAATCCATAGTTTTGAAATTATACCCCTATAAAAAAAACATTTCAGATTATTCAAAACCCATTGAGCTGAAGCTCAACCTAAGATTGTGGTATATTTGCACTAAATTAACCCTTCCACATCTCCAAATGGTATGGTAAACTAGACTACAATCACCAACAGATAGATGTTTGATATAAGTTCTTTTGTCACTTCACATCATATTGACAGACGAGGTTTAGTGACCTCTGAGAGCACTACCTTTAGACCCACTGATCTGGCATGGCTAACGGCACTAACAAGATCACCATCTGTTGTAAGGAGAACCCTATCACCTTCGTCATCTTCATACTACAAGACCACCACAAACAAGATCAAAAAATTTAACACCAAATCAGAAAATATATCGAATTATATATTCTTAGGCACTCACCAAAAGCTGAGGCCGGCCTTGATCACTAACATCACCGAACCTTTGCATAACAGCAGAAACAAGCTCACCTAAGTTCTCAGTGCCTGATGAAAGTTTTAAACAACACAAAATAAATAAAAACAGATCAACATCATGATTTTAGCAACAGAGAGAGAGAGAGAGAGAGATTTGCATGAAGAAATAAACAAAGCTTTTAAAAGTAAAAATTATTTCCCCATTGCAACACTACCATAAGCAATCAATTATAGCCTTGAAACGATACTGACCAAAATTTAATCGGTGTACGCGACCCTTGTGGTCGGCGAATTTGAAGGCAAATGAATTCCCAAGACCAAGAGATGGATACCTCCCGAGTTCTGTCCCATCTGATGTGTTTACTGCAGACATAGACATCTCACTGTGCACAACAACATAAAGGTGATAGATGAATTAATCAGTCGCCAAAACAACATACCCAACACACCAAAATTGATACCTCTGGTTGTCATAATCCTCTGGTGGCTCTAGGGAAAGTGCTGAATCCCAAAACTTTTGCATCATTGTGTTTGCCACATCATTAACAGCTCCAGAGCTACTATCAACCTTGAAAAAGATATATCATACCCTTAGTTCCCTTTTGCATGTTATATGAGATACCTTTTTATTTATATAATTTTTTTATTAGTGTACTTCTCCATGTCAACAACTCAAAAATTCAGCACTTTTTTATTTGAGATGCAGATAGACATGTAATCATCAAGTCATAAACATAACTCAGTTGTTGCATGAAGCATGAAGAGAGTGATAGAAATAGGTTCAGTTGTAGGATCATATAAATACTTATCTTAATAGCTTTCAAATGCTTAGAGCACAAATGCATGAAGAGAGTGATAGAAATAGGTTCAGTTGTAGGATCATATAAATACTTATCTTAATAGCTTTCAAATGCTTAGAGCACAAATGAAGCGTTCAAGTACTTAGTTGCATGAAGCAGGGGTCAGGGCGGGGGCGAGAGTGGGGGAGTGAGTGCATATAAAGTTTTCTAAAGTTTTCTAAGGTTGGAGCACATATAGGAGCTTGTATATATTTTATATATTAGATATATAAATATGTTTTAACAAATATTTGTTTCCGCTTAATTGTAATATGTGTTAAAATATGAATAAATATTAGAAATTAGTATTCATTTGCAAATTGTTTTTGTTAAGTATGAACAAATATTCTGTGAAAACAAAGTAAAAAAACATGTTTGGGTTGATTTTCTTTTGTTTCTTTCAGATTTGTACAATTGAGAGGTTCTATGTCAGTTGGAGTGAATTTCCTGTAAGTTTCGTACTTTTCCTATAAGTTTCTTACTTAGGAGCGCGTAATCAAGTTTCAAAGTAAGAAACATCACCTAGTAGGAGTTTCTTGCGACTAAGTTCAAGTATGTAGATAAATATACATAGACATGTCACAAAACTCAGAATTAATATTGCTGCATTTTCTTTTTTTAAAGTGAGAAACATTGATAGCAAACCATCAAAATGCTATCAGGTGTTCAAAAAGTGTCTACTAATGCATAATTTAGAAACAGAATGTTGCAATTTGGAAACAATTGAGATGCAATATATAAAAATTGAATGCTGGTGAGTACTTGAGGAATGCCAGCCAATCAATATAATACCACAAATTTTACTTATTCAGCATTAAATAAATGACAAGTAAAATAATGAGTTCCTAGAACTACACAATACAGAAATGTACCAATAGTGAGCAAAATCATGACTACATTAAGTGAAACATGTAGTTTGGGTGTTCACTCAAACTTAAGTATCATTCCTCTCCCAACCCAAAAATTACACTACCCATGTAATACATCTCCATGGAATCTCATCAAATGGTTAATACACACACACACAGAGCGCTTTATTACAATTTATGCAACATTTGTGTAATTGATATCCATGGACATGTCATAACTTTTTTTATGTATTTATAATATTATGTTATTTCATAACAACATACATCACATCGCCACAAATTGACATCCAATATTCAATATAATATATCACAATAATCTATGACTTATATTCCATCCAAAATCAATTCCTTCAATCATTATTTTTACAGTTGGACATGCTTCTAACACTTGGGAGATACACGTATCCATCATTTGGACACACATAAAACACAATACAAGTTTGAACAAAATAACTTGAGATCTATTGGTAAAAGAAAAATAATGTAGATTTATACCTATTAATTTATCATCCTTTAAACTTTAGAAATTCATGTCATGTCATATATTTTTATTAATTTTGAATGAAACATGATATAATATATATAACCATATATTTTGCACTTATCCCCAATATGTCATATCCTACATCTTTTATCTTTTAAAAATTGTCATGTTTACATGTCCGACTGTCCATGTCGTGTCACGTGTCCATGCTTCTTAGCCTCACCCTCTTCCAAGCTGAGACCCTCCCCAACTCCACTACCCTGTCTTTTAGTCAATTGTTTTCTTGTTTCCTCCTTAAAAATAGTTGGATTTGTAATTAGGGAATCCCAGGGTTACAAAAAATAGTTACAAAAATCCCCTGGTTTTTTTTTTTTTTTTTTTTGTAATTTTCCCCAAGTTTAATCACCAAAGAACTGTGCTTCTAAATAAAAATTTAAGTTGTACATGCTTTTTATCAAGAGAAAAATTACAGTTCCAGGACAGTGGATTAGCTAATCTTCATGTACACATTGTATCCGATCAACCAGCTCAAAGTTCAGGAGCTTGCTTCAGTAAGAAAAGCAGAAAACCTGGAGTAGGAACATCATGATCTAGAAATTATGTCACTAGTATACAAACAGCAACATCAGAAAAAAAAATGTCCTCACCATGGAAATTGCCGCATGAGTTATCTGGAGAACGTCCACACAAGCGACAACATATCCATCTGCCCAATGGAAAATGTCAAAAATATGATTGGGAAATCCATTACACTGATTTAAAAACTTAAAACTCACCTTTGTCCACAATAGGAAGATGTAAGAACTTGCCATCATGCATGATATGCAGAGCCTCAAGGATTGTTGTCTCTAATGTTGCACACTCAGGGTTGGGCGTCATTACCTTGACAAAGAAAAAACCAAAAATGAGACAAAAAGGAACCAAGTGAAACAGGTATTTTTCAATTAATCTGATTGGACAAAGGGAGGACATCGCTTTGTGTGTGTGTGTGTGTGTCAAATTATCAATTAAGGTCTGGATTAGGTACATACGTATATATACAGATGTTTGTGTAGCAGAGTAGTGGAATCAAAGAGAGACAAATACGAAAAAGGCTTACAAGGGAGGCCAAAGTTGGCAAACTATACCATGACCTCAGTTATCAGAATCTTACAATACACGATTGAATTTGTGTTTCGATTAATGATTCATGTATAGATCAATGTGAACCTATGGGTTAATCTATTTTGGGATAGTCAATGGTGAATCGCATGAATCATAATTTGATTCACATTTCGATTTATGTTTTTACTATTTATGCTTTCCTGAAACTATTGGGTTCTGACATATTTCGACCCCTTTTTACCTCCTTTTTTTTGTGAAAATGTCATAATACATTAGTATGAAAATAACTAATGATTCTTGTTATTTTGGTGATCAAATGATTTAATATGATCCAATTAGACCTCAAAGGTTGTTAACCTTTTTTCTTAATTTTTTTTCTTAGAAAAATATCAAAATACATCTTCTAAGGATGTTTAAGACTAACTTGCCCCCATAAATTTTTCTATTGTTTATTTGAGTGAAATAAACGTTGTCTAAACTATGTATTCATAAGCATGCAAGGTACACTAGAAAGAACAGTAACCATGTCTTTACCTCTACAACAAAACAAATATCAAGTCGCATTCATTGAAATTTTATGAGTTTGATGGAACATATAGAGCTTAACAGCTAAGCCAGAGGGGAAAATGTGATTTTCTTTGATGAAGTAACTGAGATGAGAAAAACTACTTCACAAGTAAACAAGATCTATTTACAAAGTAATGCCTATTCACTTGGAGTCACACAGCTTCGGGCCCAAGTCAGCATATGCAAATGGGGCAACCAAACAGGAAACATATCAACCGTGTCACATGTGGAGCATAAATATATTCAAACTAATACAAAATGATTCAACAAGGAATACAATTAAAATTAATGTTTTTCTACACCTAAAGCTCATCAGACTCTTGTTTATCATGCATTTATGTCAGCATTAACAAAGAGAGCAACCAAATAGGCGATCAACCAAAAGGAGCACAAATGTACCCAAACCAGGTAAAGTGCTTCTACAAGGTAAACACAATGTACAAGCAAAACTAGTATCAGAATGTCCAAGATGAATATGCCAAATACAGAAATAGAAACCTATTTATAGAGAAATAGTATATAATGATCTTGTAATAGTCTAATGACATTTCTGACTAATTCATCCTAGTGGAACAACTGAAACTGCTGAAACTGAAACCAATATAATGATAGGAGTTTCACAATAAGAACCTTTTCCACCAAAGTCAACATAGGAGAAAGGTTTTGGGCCACAACTCGCATAAGAATATCCCTTGAACTGCAGTTCAGTTACAACAAAAACAACTATAAGCAACAGTCATAATATATAAAAACAAAGATAAAGAAAATGGCACCTTAAACATATTTACCCAAATACGAAAATCTAAGATTTTATGAAAGGAAAAACAAAAAGAAAGAAGGAAAGGAAAACCCTGATGAAAAGAGAACAGTACGTTAGTATCCCCTGAATCTTGTTCTCAGTGGCAATAACGACGGAGTTAGCCCTCAACTCTCGCATCTGTTTGGCAGCAACATGGACAGGATCTGACGGTGATACTATTGCAACCCTGAAAAAATAGAATGTAGCAAGACTTGGTGTCACAAAACCAACACTAAAACAAGTAGATAGAAACTATATCTCCTACACAAAAAGGCCAATGGCCGAGTTTGAAGAATACTTGGCATTTTCAGCAATAATAGTTGACAAACAGGGCTTGAACATTCGGTCTCGGAGTGTTTCTATGAAAGCGGACGGTGCTGAAATAGAGATTGACAAATTAGAATCTACAAAATAAATATATGTTATCTACATCCATTAGATATGCATGATAGATTACACTCATCACTATGCTGACAAAGACAACATGCAACAGCCATATTATATAGTATGACAGGCAAAAAAAAAATGAAACAAAAACAATTAAAATATAAATATGGAAAACCCCATCAAAACTTAAACAAAAATATCCAGAAATTCAAAAAAAAAAATATATAAAATGAATATAAAATGATAGATCTCACCAAAATGAAGAAATGATTGGCACCCATAATATTTTCATCTTCAAACTAGGAGAAATCGTGAGAGTAAAAAATGAGTATAAAATGATAGATCTCACCAAAATGAAGAAATGATTGACACCCATAATATTTTCATCTTCAAACTAGGAGAAATCGTGAGAGTAAAAAATGAGTATAAAATGAAATTTACCTCCAATACATTGGACCTGGCCCGTTAGGAAAATCATCATTATTTCATGCTTCCAATGATGCAATTCAAGTGGCTATGGGGTAGAATATGTAGATTAGTGATAGTAGGATGCAAATCAAACCAAATGGTAGAGATTTTGGAAGGAATTGCGGCCCAAAAAATGAAGAGAAATCGGGCCAAAAAGTCTACTGCATAGCACACAGTTCTGCATTTCAACAAGCAGCAGGTGAACTGGCCTTTTTAAGCTGAACCAATCCAATGCACCCAAAACTTGGTAAAATATCCAGTTGAGACCAGTACATACCGTGAACGAGCCAGTTCAGAAACAATTTTTACTCACACTGGTAAATTGGGGTGTGACGAAACTAGATAGCCCAAAAAGCAATTTGAACAAGCAGGTTTTTGAACCATGCATAAAACTTTCTGATGGGGGATCGAAAAGGCATTGGATAAAAGGAAAATTAAAGATTTTGTAATTTCTTATTTGTTTATGAGTTATAATTTAATTGAGACTTTTATTAAGATGGTGTTTTATTTTTGGTAACCTTAATTTAGGGTTTCCTACAAAACTTATATATATGCTTTATGTTATAGTTTTAGGTTAGCTTTTGGAGATAATAATATCGAGTCAAGGCCATGGCCATTTTTGTGTTCGGGTTGTAACACTTGATCATCTTCTTCCTTTGTTCTTATTCTTCTTGATTTCTTGAGCGTCTCTTTTGGATCAATTCTCCATAATATGTAAAAGAACAAAAACAAGGGGTTCACCCCTTGTACACAAAGTGACTACAAATGAGAAGTGTCTGCCTACTTATCTACATGAGTACAAAGATAGCCAAAAATTATATTAAATAATATATTCGCATATGAATCTGAATAAAACCAAGTGGGGGAAGTGGATATCCATGTAACTGAACCCAAGTAATTGGTAGAAAGGCTCATTGAGTTGAGCTTATATCCTCACATACCACAGAGCAAGTTACAAATTTCCCTTGGGCATTCATAAGTGCAGCAACTATCCTTTGAAGACATAATGTATTCTACATTTTAAGTTGAAAGAAGTGCCAACTTACCAGAGAAATTGCTCCCCCACTGGCGCTCCACCCCTTCAACTGCAGCTGCAATGGCACTACCTTGCTCTGCAGCCTTCTCCATCCTGGATATAGCATCGTAGAGGCACTTTGTAATATCCAACAAGGCAATAACTTCACCATTTTCTACAACAGGGAGATGCCTAAATTTTCCTGTCAACCAAACAACGATGAACTAAGATCATAACACCAATAGCTCACTTAAAATGTGTTGGTTAGTATGTATATGAAAATGATAATGGGTTATAAATAGAATAATGGATTTTTAAAGTGCCTAAGATTAATAACAACATAATCTGAAGAAATGTCCACCAAAGAAAAACCAACAAAAAAAATAAAAAAAACATTACAGCATCAAAGGTTATAGAGATTAGAATAATAATACAACACCATTAATTCTGAAAAAAGAAAGGGAAAAATAGAGAAGGAAAGACACATGAAAAAGAATATACTACTATCAAACAAATCCAACTACCAAACCAAGTAATAGAGGTAGTAGAAAATTTTATGATTCCACATTGTAAATGAGACAGCAAAGTGCCACATACTGGCTGAAATGCCTAGACATAGACATGTACCCTACAGGAATCCAAAAATGTCAACATGTGCATTTACCCAACAGGAATCCAAACATGACAATGTCAAAACCAATTAAAAGCATGAAACAATTAAGAAACAACCAAATGTAATGTGATGTAATGTAATATAAGATGGATCTTTAAGTATGCGAATTAAAGCCTCTATAACCATGGATGGTAATAAAGATCATCTCAATGAAAAGCATAAGAAGAGCCCCAAAAAACAAAACAAAAAGAAAATCAAATTCCATTAAGCAGGAAGAGTTGGGAATTGATCTATTTCAAGGCTTCACTCATTTAAAACCTTATATAATTGAGCTTCGGCTTCATAGAGTCCCATTTAACATTTATTTTTAGGCGAGTGTAGCTCTGGTCAGCTTATATGTTTTATTCATGTTACATAGGTCTAGGCTATTTTGGAATTTTCAAATTCTTGAAATGGGCAGGAGCTACGTTACATGGACTCGGGAACGAGTATCGAGTGCGGGTATGTATCTAGGGGTCAGACTCGACAAAATATTAAATGATCAATTACACTCACCCTAACCGAGAGAGAGAGAGAGAGGAGGAGAAGAAGAAGAAGAAGAAGAAGAAGAAGAAGAAGAAGAAGAAGATGGAGCGACAAAAGAAAGAGAGAAAACGAGAGAGAGAGAGAGAGAGAGAGAGAGGGGCGGGAAGATCAACAGAGATCGAGCTTCGTTCTTGGACTGATTCACGTTTCTATCTCATCAGATTCACGATTCTTGTGTGATTTTCTCTCTCTCTCTCTCTCTCACACACATCAATTTTAGAAGTCAAAGTGCTCATTTTTCAAATGTCCAAGTCAGTTTAGAGTTCTGAGTCCTTAGAAATAGAAATAGAAATAGAAATAGAAATAAAGCCATGTGATGCAACTAATTGAAATGAAGATGAGCTAGAGAATTTTCAAAACTTTTGAAGAAATTTAGGATGGTGTGACTTGTAAGTGCAACCTTAGATATAACCCAAGCCACTATCATGAGAAGAGCACAATGGATTACCTATGAAGCCTTGGAGAGCTCGAAGACAGATGGGAGAAGCATGGAAGACGCTACGCCAACATAAGGAGAGCCCTCAACGACAAAAGAAAGAGAGAAAACGAGAGAGAGAGAGAGGGGGGGGCGGGAAGATCAACAGAGATCGAGCTTCGTTCTTGGACTGATTCACGTTTCTATCTCATCAGATTCACGATTCTTGCGTGATTTTCTCTCTCTCTCTCTCTCTCACACGCATCAGTTTTAGAAGTCAAAGTGCTCATTTTTCAAATGTCCAAGTCAGTTTAGAGTTCTGAGTCCTTAGAAATAGAAATAGAAATCTATATAAAGCCATGTGATGCAACTAATTGAAATGAAGATGAGCTAGAGAATTTTCAAAACTTTTGAAGAAATTTAGGATGGTGTGACTTGTAAGTGCAACCTTAGATATAACCCAAGCCACTATCATGAGAAGAGCACAATGGATTACCTATGAAGCCTTGGAGAGCTCGAAGACAGATGGGAGAAGCATGGAAGAAGCTACGCCAACATAAGGAGAGCCCTCAACAAGCAGTGGCACAATTTACGACCAAGCACTTACTCTAAAATTTCACAAACCTCACCAACACTAATGTCGATGCCTCCCGGTAAGTCCCCTCTCCTCTTTGATTCTCCCTCTGGCTCTTCGTCTTTGGTTTGTACCTTATTTTAACTATTTTTGCATTTGAGTTTTTAATTTTTATCATGCACTACTACAAATTACAAAAATCATTTTTTTATAGACGTACCCCGGGCATACCCGTATCCAATTTTTTTAAAGTTTTGTCATATTGGCATACTTGTACCCATATCCATGCTTCATAGCAATTGACAATCGCAAAGAACACCAAAATGCCATCTTAAAAGCAGCAAAATACTATACACATGTTTTTTGCATCACTTATGCTTGGCCCTACTTGTTTTCTTCTTTTTTCTTTACTCTCTAATACATGGGAAAGAATTAGAGGCACTATTTTTGTGTGCTTGTCTGCATCCCATATTCCAACCAAATACTATTATTATCACACACTTATGTAAGCTTCTACTCCAAGGACCATGTATATCATAATTTTATCTGACTCAATTCCTAGTCATGTAATATAAATAAAACACAAGATAAAACTTACCCTGGACCATCTTTTGAAGAGCCTCAATTGCCAGTGAGTCCGAATTGACAAAAATAGGGTTCCTTGTCATAACCTTTGAAATTATTGTCTGCTCTGGCCTCAACTCCTCTGCTATAACTCTAGTTGCAATGTCCTACGCACAAAACAAACACAATTCAAACACTTGACTCCCCCAATAACACAAAAGCAAAAAACCAAATTAACCACAAGAAAATCGATTGTTATGCTCAAAACCTTGTCAGTGACTATGCCAGAAAGCAAAGCATTTGCATCAGTTAACAAAACAGCGTCTACAGGGGCAACCAAAGCTGCCATCCTCCGACAAGCATCGGAAACAGTGGTCCCTTCCGGAATAGTGAGGGCTTTCGATAGCCTCAGTTTCTTGACCGTCCTTTCGCCACCAACAGGCCTGAAAGCAATCAATCGATTAAACAACAACAAACCCAAATCAAACAACAAAAACAATACAATGAATCATCAAAATACACACGTAATTCAATTCAATTCAATTTTAAAAAGTTCACACACCAACAACAACAAAAAAAAAAAAAACTTACGCTTGCTTAGGGGAGGAGGGTTTGGAAAGGGTCCCGCCATTGGTGGTTCCGTTCTCGGATTGAATCGAAGATTTCTTCACAGTCGATTGATTTCGCTTCTGAACCAAACTGTTCCGTCTCGGAGCTGGAGGGATTTGTCCACTCATTTTCCTCAATTATTATTGCATAAATTAGGGGCCGTTTGAGGGGAGCTCTCTGAAAACCCTAGAATTTAGAGAGAGAAGAGATGGTAAACCCTAGTTTTAGAGAGAGAGAGGTGAGGGATGGTTTGCCCTAACCCTCCCTCCTCTCTTCTTCTTGTCTGACCGCGGAGCTGAGATGAGAGAGAGAGATTCAAATTTTAATTGAATTTACATTTGATTTGAACAATGGATAAACTACTAACGAATAACTACCACGACTCCTGTTATTTCCTTTGAGCCAGGTGGCGTGTTGTCAACCCAACGCTCGACTTCCAAGTGGCCAATTGGGTTTCGCCCAATCTTTTGTTTGGCCCATTTTTGAATGGCCAATTGGGCCATTCTATTTGAATTAAAAAAAATTAGGTTTCGTTTGGCTATTTCATTTTGGATTAAAAAAAATACAAAAAAAATAACATAAGTTAAATAAGTTAATAAGGTAAAAAAATTTCAATGAATTTTTTAACCCCAAATTAAAAAAATTTCAACTCCAAAAAACTAACTAAATTTTTTTTACCAAACCGAAACTTGTTCAAATTTTAAAATTTTAATTCCTATGATATAGTGTGTCGGGATATAATCTGGTGAGTGTTAGAGAATGTGTGGTGACCACTATTAAATCACTTGCTGAAGAGAAAAGTGAATTTCCAATTACTGTGGGGTTACACCAAAAATTAACCTTAAGTATTTATCTTTTTGTTTTAGTTATGGATGAGTTGATTAGAAATATTCAGAATGATGTGTCATGATGTATATTTTTTACAAATGATATCGTGTTAGTAGATAAGACTAAAGAATGAGTTAATACTAAGACGTAGAGAGAAACACTTGAATTTAAAGGATTTATAATAAGTAGAAGTAAGACATAGTACATGGAGTGTAATTTTGGTAACAGTAACAATGGAAGCAAAGAAGAAGTGAAAATTGATAATCAAGAACTACTTAAGAATGAACATTTTTGTTATTTATGATCGATTATCATAATGCTTTGAGAGATTGGAGCGAATGTGGTCCATAGAATTAAATTAAAGTAGGGTGGCTTAAGTGAAGAACTGCGGCTGAGATACTGTGTGATAAACGAATATCCACTAGATTAAAAGGAAAGTTCTATAGAACGGTTATTAGACCAGCGATATTGTATGGGACAAAATGTTAGGCAACTAAGAAATAATATATAGATAAGATGAGTATTGCTTAGATGATGATGTTTACGGTGGATGTGTGGTGAGATTAGAAAAGACATAATAGATTGAGATGATTTGATCATATACAACAAAGGCAATAGAAAAGAGATGTGATACAGTGACAGTAGATGAAAGTGTTAGGGGAAGTGGCAAACCTAGATTGACGTAGGTGAGTATAGTAAATAGAGATATGAATCTCTTTAATTTGACTAATCAAATGGCCGTGTGTAGAGAAAAAAGATTAATGTAATCAACCCCATTTGATGATACTTAAGGCTTAGTTTGATTTGATTTAATTCCTAATATATTCTAATGTAAATTTACTAATAAGAACAACGCATATTAAATCTTCAAATAAAATATTATTTTTTTCTCATGAGACACCATAATCAATTGTAGTGTTGTTTGTTTGGAGGGATTGAAGTGTGAGATAGGATTTATATCTGTTGTTTGATTTTTCAATTTTGCTCCGAACTATTAGTCCCAAATGTGTTAGACTATTATGTCACATGGAGGGTACAAATGGAGGGGATATGAGATTAGGTGGTGAAATGACCATTTTGACCCTCTACCATATAATTATGTATTATATTTAGTAAAATTCAATAAAATTTAAATGTCTCAATTTAAAAATAAAATAATTTTATTTAATTTTTATTGATGTTTTATTTATTTAATTTTTTAATAGATATTTTTTTTAAAAAAAAAATTGTTTAATTTTATTATTTAAATTTTAATAGATGTTTTATTTAATTTCATTATTTTATTATTATTATTTTTTAAAATAAATGTATTTGAAATTTTAATTAAAAAATAACATATATTTTTATTGATATTTTATTTATTTAATTTAAAAAAATAAATTTATTTAATTGTTTAAAAAATAAAATAAAATAAACTTTTATTTAATCTAGCTAAAAATAATTAAAATATTAAAGATATGTTTAATATTGTTATTACTTAGTAAATAATTAAAAATGGTAAAATAGTCATTTGAGCATTTATCCTTCTCTATAATATCCTAAACAAACATAGGATTCGTATCTTATCCAAGCAAATAATCATTTCCTAACATAAACATGGGATGCATATCCTATTTAACCAAATAGTCCCAGAACTATGAATCCCAAGATTATAATCAAATGGATTCAAATCCTCATTTATTCAGTCCGTTCAATCTAACACACTGATGTGTTTGACTGGACGGACTGGATAAGGGGGGATTGGTGTGTTTGATTAGACGGACTGAATAAGGGGGGATTGGAATCCATCGAACTTAAATCTTAAGACTGTGAACCTCTTAGACTATTTGGTTGGATTGGATGTGTATCTCGTGTTTGTTTTCTCATGGGATTAGATGTCTGGAAAGAACTATTTTTAGTGAATCCAATGTTTGGTTGGACGGACTAGATAAGGATAAATGAACAAAAGACTATTTTACCCTTTCTTCAATTGTTTACTAAATAATAACAATATTAAATCTGTCTTTAAATTTAATCTTTATTTATAATTGATTAGTGGACCACAATTAATTATTTAATTTTTTCAATGTTTGAAACATACATTTTTCCAATATTTATATTTTTTAATGGTCACATTTTTTCAATATAAATAAGATCATGTCTTTTCTAATTTTTATCCAACACAAAAAAATTATTTGTTCCAGCAACATCACACCAGCAGCATACCCCTTCTAATTTTTATCCAACACAAAAAAATGGTTTGTTCCAGCAGCATCACACTAGCAGCATACCCATTCTAATTTTTATCCAATACAAAAAAATTATTTGTTCCATCACACCAGCAACATCATGCAACACACCAGCAACAATACACAACACACCAGCAAATCCACACAACACACCAATTAACAATCATCCAAATAACTGTGTATAACAACCAAAATGAAAACAACAATCAACATGAAAGTGGTATATGTTCATAAGGATGTCAGCAGGTACAAATATTTGTTCCTACAACTAGTAGCCTTCAACAACAAAAACAACAGTATCCCATGCCTAGATGAGTCAGAGGCACAAAATCATGATATAACAATTTAACCCACAAAATACGGTGCTTGACGAATTAAAAAAAACAACAATTAAGTCTATGGAGCATAACTAAAAAGCCAAATATTCCCATCACATGCCACAAGTTTGTTATGGAGCATTTTTACTTAGTAACCTCATTACCTACCTTAGCCTATCATCATGTGTCAAGCTGAAGAACATGTCAAGCTTTTGGACATCACGGGATATGATTTCGCAAGCATCTAACCTTTCATCTACAGTAATTGGCAACTTTGTAAATTCATCATTTAATACTACCCGTTTTGATGCGACATCACGTGAATACCCCATCCTTTTTTCCAATGAATTCCAGCTTCTCATTGGTTTTACCCATGACATCCACCAACTTGTCAGCAAACATAGACAGCTTTTCAACTACATCATCATCAGATCTAGATCTTTTCTTGTCTTTCTTTTTGGCAGAGCTCTCACAAGCCCGCTGAGTTGCTGAGTTTGAACAATCCATTCATTCACCAGTGTGACTATTTACTCCCATTTGTTCAAGAAAAGTGTCATTATCTACAAGGCCATGCAACAACACATCTTCCTCAGCATTCATAGCCTTAACTGCATCAGCAGGCCCTTCAACAAAATCCTTTATAACCTGGTCCTCGCCAAATATTTGAATCCATTCATCGAAATATGGGAAAGTTTTGTTCCTTAGGTGTTTTTCATTGGTGTCCCTCTGCAATGACCAACTAATCCTAGTTAATATAGGAAAGTGTATTTCAAAAGCAGTTACATAAACATGTAGCAATTATAAAAATAAAAATAAATAAATAAAGTATTTATATCATGGTAACTTTACCCGAACATATGCCTCCCATACACTATCACTCTCCACATCAATTCTTTTGTCAGTGTCATTCCATCCAAACCCACTAGTAGCAAGCATACCGAACACAGAATTATAGTGCTTCTTCCATATTTTAATTTTTGATTCAATATGGGAACAACCATGTAAGTCTGTCCCAGGTAAGATATCCGCCAATTTAGTTTCCAGTCTCGCAAGATAGCCCGCCTTGAAAGCATTGTCAACTTTCATTCCTTCATTAACAATGGACACCAATGCTGAAATTAGAGCATCATCTTCATGTGGGCTCCAAATCTGCCTTTGTTTTGATGAATCAACCTTGTCATTCTTTTTCTTACGAGAACTGGATACCTCATTATCCATGCCTAAAGTAATCATTCAACATTTCATACACATAACAATAAATCATTAATAACTCAAAAAATAAATTGTCAGATATTAAAAAAAAATACATTTTCAACATCCACATTGTCAGATATTAATAAAAATACCTCATCAAATAATTCAATATCCACATTGTCAGATATTAATAAAAATACATAGCAACGTTACATAAAAAAATTAAATGGTTTAACAACAAATCAAAGTAGAACACAATAGTAATGAAAATAAACACTAAACTATTCTCATCCAACCCCTCCACTAGCCAACCAATTGTTTTGCAATTGTATTGCGAGTGTATCCCGCCACATAGTCCATTCATTAGATGTCTCAACAATATCAATGAAATCATCTCCCATTGGCGGTTGATATTTTTGGTCATCATCGTCATCCTTTATAGGGTCAACTGCCATCTTTCGTCGAATGAAGTTGTGTAATAAGCAACATACTGTGATAATACGATTTTCGGTTCTAATGGGGTAGTATGATGCACTGCGAAGTATTGCCCATCTCATTTTCAACAATCCAAAACATTTTTCTATGACATTCCTGGCTTGTGCATGTTTTATATTGAAATATTCTTGGTAATTACTTGGAGTTGCCCTTTCTTTCCAAACAGACACATGGTATCACTGACCACGGTAAGGTGCTAAGAATCCTCACCCATTTGTATAGCCGACATCCACTAGGTAGTAGTAACCTATGTGTGGAATGTTATGCATTAAACTCAATTATTAT